TTCTCAGTATATGTATCCCCGTATTCCACCATCCATATATCAGTATCCATATCCCACTATCTGTATCCCACTTTTCAAATACCAGTACCTATATAACACTATCTGTATCCCACTATCTGTATGCCGTATTCATCCCATACCAATATCCATATCCCACTATCCATACCAGTATCCGTATCCCACTATCCATATCCCAGTATTCATATACCATTATCTGTATCCCACAATCCGTATCCCAGTATTCATATACCAGTACCTGTATCCCACTATCCATATCCCACTATCTGTATCCAAATATCCAAATGCCACTATCCGTATCCCTCTATCCATATCCCAGTACCTGTATCCATACCCCAATATCTATATCCTAGTATCCGTATCCAAGTATCTGTATCTAACTATTTGTATCTCACTATCTGTATCCCAGTATCTATATCTGTATCCCACTATCCGTATGTCGCTATATCTCTATCCATATCCCAGTATCTGTATCCAACTATTTGTATCCCACTATCTGTATCCATATCCCAATATCTATATCCTAGTATCCGTATCCCAGTATCTGTATCTAACTATTTGTATCTCACTATCTGCATCCCAGTATCCATATCTGTATCCCACTATCCATATCCCAGTATCCTTATCAGGATCCATGTCCCAGGATCCTTATCCCTGTGTCCATATCCCAGTATCTGTGCACTCAATGCTGTGATAGTCTTCCTAAGGGGGAACATATGGAACATCCTAATGCATGTTATACATATGAGAACTATCATTCCACCCCCCACTTTTCCCCTTGATGGTAGAGAAATGGTAGTTTATAGATCTCCCCCATTGTCTGCCCCCACAGTGACCTGTAAGTGACATAATGGAGTGCTCAGACACAACCCGCTGTATCTGTACACTCCACACATAACTGTAGACAAACAGAATAATAAACATCTTCCAGCTGGACATTGTGCAGATTTCAGCAGACAGAACAGAGCAGGATCACTAATGAATGATGTTTTCAGTATAGGGAAGGATGTGGATTCATCATTACAGCCCTCCCCTCCTCTTGGTCTCATCACCCATCACGAATTACAAACTTATCAATATGGATGTCACACCACTGCCTCAAATGTAATCTTTCCTTCCTGCCCCCCCCCCCCCCCTAACTTTTCCATCAAGATCAATTGCCCAATTATAAGACGAACCCAACTGCTTTCTCCACTCACAGGCCAACATCCTGGCCTGTATTTTTCTCGATTACCCGCAGTCAGTCAGGTGACAGGGCACCTCCATCCAAATAACAGGCCTCACACCAAAGATGTTGAACCCTTCCTAGCTAACAGTAAGTCTAGCTCCCCCTAGCTGACTAGGAGGGTGCTACAGTTACATATACGTTCTTGTAGATAGTGTTGGTTTTATGGGAGACCGTTATAGGAGTTTTAGAGTTCTTTCATTAAAGTGTACAGTATGTTATGGAAAGATGGTTTCCATAATAAAGTTAAAATTTTGGAATAGTATATAGTTAAGAATGCTGTGTATTTTAGGTTGTCTGTTAGAGCTTCCAAGACAGTTTTTGTTTGTTTTTGTGTGCTATTAATCTATTGTTGACCCAGACATATCTAGCAGAGGGTTTGTAAGACCTAATTTTGTATCATTTTTACTCTTTGGAGTATATTTACCCTATAAAGAAAAACTATTTGTTCATGTAAAAGGTCCCTACCCAACTGCATTTCACTTTTGTATAAACCTCTGCTCAACCTTGACCATAAGGACCCTGCATAGCCGAATAAGAGGGAGAATTAGAGAAGAGGGTTTTCCCAGATGAAATAAATACAATATTGGTACTAGTACATTTTTTCAATAAATACTTCTACTGCCGAGATTAGCTACGAATTGTTGACCGAGTGGTACTATACCACGATGCCCTTAAATAAATGGGGCCAGCCTCTTAATACACAATGTTGCAGATGTAATCAAGAATTGGGGATACTGCCTTATATGTGGTGGTACTGCCCTCTATTTCTAGTATATTGGAGATAATTTTTTGAATTTGAAGATAAAAGTTTCATCTATCTCCCTTCCCCTCAATCCATGGGTGTGTTTTGTTTTATAAAACTAAAACCCCCATTTCAAAATTAAAAACAAAGCTACCTCAATGTTGAATGTGGCAGGAGGTATAATCCCAAAGCATTGGAAGTTATGAAAACTGCCTTTGGTGGATGAATAGTTGCTGAGGGTTTCCATGATCTTTCTTGATGAAGGAATTAAGAATTGTTAAACATGATTTTCAGACTTTTTACTCCATCTGGGCAGGTTGGATTATTTTTAAAAACTCAGAAATGTATAGGGAGCATCTGTTGAGGGTATATGTTATATTACTATCAAGTGAATCACTATGTACATATGGTTAGATTCTTGTTTGCTAAACATGTTTAACCCCTAGGCGCCCTTTAAAGGGTTTGTGATGCCAGGAGGCGGGGCTTAGGGTCATGTGAGCGCCGTGATTGGCGGTCACATGATTGAAAAGGTCCCAATGAAAAGTGGCGATTGGGACCTTTCTGTGAGGCGCCGGTGTTGGAAGTGCGCATGGTGAGTGCTCTCAACACGTGTGGTTTTGTGGGTACACAAGGTAACAAGTCCTTAAAGTACAAATCCAAATTGACAAAAGAAAAACATAATCAATCAATAAGCCCGTGTTTTGCACGGGCAAGAGAGCCCATTCATTTGAATGGACTCCCGTGCCCCGTAGAGAAGCACTTCTGAAAACACAGCCCGCAGGGGAACCTCGGTTCCCAGTACGGTTGTGTTTTCCAGTGCGGGTGGAGTGCCATTAGAATTAATGGCACCCGGCCGCGAGTCCGTATTCCTCTGTGCGGGTGGTGCGGCTGCACGGATTTTTGTGCAGATCCGCAGCGGCACCACCTGCACATATGTGAACCTAGCCTAAAACGTGTAAATGTCCTTAACCTGTTGGCACCGACCATACGCAAATATGTGGCCGAGAGGTTACCGGTCCCTAGTGGACAGATAGACTGCATTCAGTGAAACAGATGGTCTCTACTGAATGGACAGGTTGGATTCACTGGTCTCCAATGAATGTATAGGAGTTCAAGTACTGACAGCTCAATGAATTGCAACACACCCCGCACACACAGAACTTGCTAATTTTGGACAATTACTTTATTAATGAAAATATATACATATATATATATTTTACAAAACGTTAAAACTCTAGAAGTTAGCTTTTTTTTTTTCCATTTGAACTTATTCAAACATTGATCAGCGCAAATATCACACAATTTTAAATCAAAGAAGGTATCACAATAATATGAATATGAGAGGATACAGAGGACTGTGCAATCTCTTTGTAACAAACTGTTGAATCTGGAAGAATTGGAACACGAAAAATAGAAATAAGAGCCTGGTGAAAGGTGTGTGCACATGTACAAGTCTTTTAATGCAGATTCGTTTGTGTCATTTCTAAAAAGAAACACACAAAATCTACTGGCCTTACTGCCAGCGTTTCCATTTGATGAAAAGGAAAAGAGGTGAAAAATTGTTTTCCGTGGAACTTGTTCACAGCAATGAATTCGTCCTGTCTGTTGCCTTTGGTAGTGTTGACCTAGCCCGTTCTTCTAGTCAATAGAATAGAATTCTTAAAAGGACACAGCTCAATGTATGTTAAGGCAATGTATGCGTTTCTGATAAGGGTCCAGCCTAAGCTACGCTTGTGGTACTTGAAATGATATCAGCAGCAAGAAAGTTAAAAGAAAAAAAAAAAAGGAAACAAAAAAAAAAAAAAAAACCACACAAAAGCAAATCCTATTTCTTATATTTCCAACAGGTTACACAGAAGAATGCAGCCTTCTGGTCATCTTTAAGCCTACTTTCTTGCATAGGAAGCTGCTCCTGGCTGCCTGTGGAAAATTAGCTATCCTGTGCGTCCCATTGCAGATCCTTTGGCGTCCCCCTCCAGCTGTAGCCAGAGCTGAGCAATGCCCACCCATCATATATCTGCATGTAAAATGCAGTGCCACTCTTAACAGTAAGAATGTATGCACTGCAGAATGGGTGGGGAAAGGTAATTTTATGGACTGCAATATTTTTGGAGGCTCCGTGGCTGCTTAGGAAGATAGAGGCACGTGTCACCTCTGTCTGTGTTTTCTGATTCATGTCAGCTCTACAACTCTTTTCCCAGCACAGGTTTAATGCAGAGCTTCTGAATGTTGTACTAAAAAAAGTGGCAGGACCTCTTCAGTGCAATTGGTAAAATAATTTAAAGATTGAACATCTCTCCAGTGCATAAAAGTTTGAAATGTAGAAAATGTGTAGGGACTACCTATAAACAGTAGTAAAAACAGCTTGGGACACAGTGGAAAAGGACAGCGCATCTTTCAGGTTTCTAGTGAGGTTTCCATTAAACATTGAGAAACTGAGCCAGCTGTCACTCAGGTATCTGGGTGGATCCCGATATTGTTTTAGCCCACTGTCGGCGGATTATGGGTCACAAGAGTGCAAAACTAATTACACTCATGTGAGCCACAGGAGAAGTATGACCAAACAAGCTTTGGCCATAATTTGCTTTTAAAAACATGCTAAAAACATTATGCGCTTGGAGAAAAATACATGCATGTTTTCTAATGGGCTCCGAATCTGCTGCTTTCATTAAAAACAAATTGAAGGTCCCCGTTCAGGCAGCTCCTGGTGAGGTCCACAGTTATAATCAAGAAGCCAGTCCAGAGCATTGTTGTGCAGCCAACAATGGAATGTGTACATGTAGATAGGAAGTGTTTGAAAAAGGCTGCAGGAGATCAGGAGCACGGAGATAGGGATTGGATAAAAGAAAGGTGGAAATAGGATTTTATGATATACAGTGCAGAGGGTAATCTACATCCAGTTAGAATTTACATCTACCCTAATCTAAAACCTATTCTATAGTAGATGTGTGCATTTATGATATGATGTCAGTGACAGTAAAACAGAGTCCACCTGTGACTCTGCCTCCGCTCCTACCAAAAGCGCAGTGCGCCCATCATTGACTGCAGGTCAGCTGGTTTCTCTGTGTACCGAATCAGGTATTCAGGGTAGATCTGGTGCTTTTCAAAGATGACAAATATGGAAGGATTGCTCTCGCTGTCCACACAGCTGTCATAGAAGCTGGATCCAGAGGTGGGTTTTGCAGGTGGACGGAGGTATGAGGACGAGCCGCGGATGGAATCTCCAACCAGCACCCGGGCCACGAACATGACATACTGCCCAGAATCAGCGTTCTTACAATATCTGTGCGAATAGGCAGCATCTCTGGCAAAATAACTGCCTGTGGGAGAAAAAAGAAGCAGCAAGATCAGTATGAAGGAAAACTCCAGGTTTGCATGAACTTTCATTTAAACCTCAACCCAGGCAAACAGCAAAATACACAGTTAAAATACATATATGGAAGCTGGTTTACCTGCTAAAGGATTTGTAATTCTGTCCTTCCAGTCCTGAGTTTTACACAGCTCTGACCCACAGCACAGCCTTATCAGGCAGGGGGAGGGGGTTGTGGGTAGACTGGAGTTTCCTTTGCTGCCATTTGGCAACAACTACAGGTCTTGTCCCTCTTCCAGCCCATGATTGGACAGTCAAGAGCCTGTTGAGTTCATACCCATGTACTCTACATAATGTCTTTGTACTCCACGTGAGGACTAGTGCTGCTGCTGTTTACACAGGTGCATTCATATTCATACATATATGGATTTGCCAGCAGTCTTAGCCGGGTGACTGTTAAAGCTCAAGCAGTCCCTGCCTTCTAACTCAGGAGATAACCTCTAATTGGTGCCATCCCAGCTGCATATGTACAGTGGAACCTCAACTTACGAGTTTAATTCGTTCCGTGGCCGAGCTCGTAACTCAAAATGCTCGCTCGTTAAATCAATTTTCCCCATAAGAAATAATGGAAACGGCCGTAATCCGTTCCAACCCTCAAAATGGCACCTCATATTTTTCATTTTTCTTGTTATTTCATAAGGAAAAAAGCTTTTTACATAACTAATATTATATAAAAACAAAATAGTAAGAAAATATGAAGATATAATAAGGTTGTATACAATTTACTTACCTTGGAGATGATTTTTTTGTTTTCGCTTAATTCTCATCACTCTCTTCACTTTCACTAGTTCTTGGCCTTTTTGCCACACTTTGCTCACTTCGAGCTGAAGGCCTTTTCTTAAGAAACATGTCTAAGGAAGTCTGTTTCATTCTCCCTTTGAGAATGTTTCTGAAACGACGTAGGCACGTGTCGTTGAAAAGCTCTGTCGCACGACTCGTTGCAATTTTTTCAGGATGGTTCTTTTCAACAAAACCTGCCACCCTCTCCCACATTGCCAAAATATCCTTGAGGTCTTTTGTACTGATTATCTCTGGCTCTGTCTCCTCTCCCTCCGAAGTAGCTTCAGTTAATGCTTCTGTGTGCCGTTGCTCTTGTAACTCCTTTAACTCGTCAGTCGTAAGTTCCTCGGAGTGCTCCTCAACGAGTTCCTCGATGTCTCTTTCATCCACCTCCAGACCTATAGTCTTGCCAATGGACACGATCTCTTCCTCCACTGGCTCCTCTTCTTCCTCAATCTCAAACCCTTCAAAATCTCTTTCAGCCACATTTTCAGGCCACAGGCTTCTTCCAAGCAGAGGTCAAGGTCCTTTTCGTAACCCCCTGCCAGGCAATATCGATGATTTTGAGGCCTATCGCCATGTTAAAATGCTCCTTCCAAAACTCTCGAAGGGTGAGGTTTGTGTTCTCCGTCACCTCAAAGCAACGGCGAAACAGGTGCTTGGTGTAGAGTTTCTTGAAATTTGATATTAGCTGTTGGTCCATTGGCTGGAGGATAGGGGTGGTGTTTGGAGGAAGGTAGAGAACCTTCACAAAATTATACTCATCAAGTATTTCTTCCTCGATCTATGGTGGATGTGCAGGAGCATTGTCGAGGACGAGAAGGGCTCGCAGGGGCAGGTTGTTGTTCTTCAAATATTTCTTCACCGAAGGACCAAACACAAGGTTTACCCAGTCGATAAAGAACTGCCTGGTGACCCACGCCTTAGGGTTTGCCCTCCACATAACATGGAGTTTCTCCTTTATTATCTTGTGTGCTTTAAAGGCTCTGGGGTTCTCCGAATGGTATACGAGTAGCGGCTTTATTTTGCAGTCACCACTCGCATTGGCACACAGGGCGAGGGTCAACCTATCCTTCATAGGTTTATGTCCTGGCATCCTCTTCTCCTCTTCGGTGATGTATGTTCTCCTCGGCATCTTCTTCCAGAACAGCCCTGTCTCGTCACAGTTGAAGATTTGCTGGGGGATGTATCCTTCTTCCTCGACGAATTCTGCGAAAGTTTTCACAAACTCCTCTGCTGCCTTTACATCAGCACTTGCTGCCTCACCATGCCTAACAACGGAGTGAATCCCCGTCCTTTTCTTAAAATTATCAAACCAGCCCCGACTGGCTTTAAAGGATTCCTCCTCCGTTGAAGTGCCTGGGGTTTGCTGTTGTAAATCTGAAAAAATACTGCGCGCCTTCTCGCAGATTATTCCCTCGGTGACGGTATCTCCGGCAAGTTGTTTTTCCGTCAGCCACACCAACAGCAGATTTCTCATGCACATCTGTACGGCGCTTTGAAATAATCTTGACACCTTTGGCTGGCTTAATTTTCTTTAGGGACTCCTTCTGTTTTAAGATGGTGCAGATCGTTGACATTGTACGGTCGTAGTGCTTGGCCAGTTCCTTTACTCGCATGCCTTGCTCATGCTTCTCGACGATTTCAAGCTTTATTTCGAGGGACATCATCCTCCTCTTCTCGGTACTCGCACTACCACTTGCTTTCTTTGGTGCCATGGTTACAACAAAGTTAGAAGTTGGGATTTCAATCACGTGTAGACAGCGAGAGAGAGAGAGAGAAAGGCTCGGAGATGGGATGCTGTGACTCATACCCTCCGAGCTGCGCGCGCCTTGAAAATATACACTTAGAGCTGCGCGCGCGCCTCGAACTCGTATCTTAAAATTCTGCTCGCGTGCCGAAGCAAAAAATCGTCCGAGCGACTGCTCGTATCTCGGAAAACTCGCACGTTAGTACGCTCGTAGGTTGAGGTTCCACTGTATATGTCTTGGGAATCTATGAAGTGTATGATATATGCATGATTGAGCATCTGGAAGCCTTGATGGATTTTTGAAACAGAATGCTACTTGTATGCTTTAGCACTACAAGCACTGGATGTTGCGATGTACCCACTAAATGATGGGCCCTGGTGACCTGGTCATATAATCTTTATGGATATTTTTTTCTGCTCAGTGGATGAAATGGCTTATATTTCCATATACAGAAATATCAGCTGTTTAAGTTTGATACAATCACTGGAGATCAAATGATATTTGATAAGATTTAAGCTTTGTTTAGACTTATGGTTGGGGCGGCAAAAATGTGCAGTTAAGCTGTATTTTGCCACCCACCAACCGACCATGACCCCCTTTATGCTGCAATAGTCCGCGGATGAGGATGTTTTTATGTCGCAGCAGAGATGCTTTATGTGGAAAAGTTCACCTGAAAAGTAGCGATTGGCGGGTGGCAAGCCCCCCAAACGCTATCCATTCAAGTAAAGTAAATGGAGAAACACTGCAAATGCCCTGAAACTGCAGTGCATTTGTCAGCAAAAATGGCAAAAATGAGTGGTGAGGAGGTGTTGCATCGCTTCCTCACCGCATGTCAGTAGCAAGTCTAAGTGCCAGTTCACATATATATATGCAGACTGCACGCGGTTTGAACCACATCCAATCCGCATGATATGTGTTAATTAACATTGCTTCCTATGGTGCCTCTTGATATATTTCCGATGCAGATTCAGTGCGGTTAAAAAAAAAAAAAAAAAAGTCATGTCTGATTTCTGAGCAGTGCAGTCCGGTTCAGGTGCAGATTACAGGCTATAGACTTCTATGGGAACCATTTCTAAACCACATGTGTGTGAAGAAGATAAGATCCTGAGCTAATCCTGTCCTGAACCTGATGTAAACCTGACATACACCATGAACAACAACTGTATCAATTAGCTGTGAAACCTGCACTTCAATCCGCACCACACCTGTGAATCAGCTCGAAATCTACCCTTAGGATGCTGGCTCAGCAGAGAATCATTAGCAGATTTTAAATGTATTGTTACATTGTACCACATTTTGCACTGTTTTTATGAAATGTAACAGAGATGACACTTCTGTATAATTCTGTTACAAAAACATTCCAGTTTTTAACCTCATCTAGGTCTCATTTGAAGGTGCTTTTCTTTTGTATGGATTCTTTTTTAAAATATATTTAGTGATGTAATAACAATTACAGCAGGGTCCTGACATCCTGGTAGTCACATGCTTGACCCCAGATAGTTACCAAGTTGTGAAGCAAGGATCAGGATGATCCAGACCAAGCTAGCAATGAGCAAACTCGTATTCCTTTTGTAAGATAAATCACACAAAAATATCCATTCACTATGACAGCAGGAATGTATTGCACACATTTACACATGCTGTGGCTTCCTAGGCTGAAGCAGATTTGAGAACCCAAATATATCCTCACCTTTCCCATATGCTGTGCCATGTGCCCCGCAGATTCGCCAGTCGAAGTTCTGTTGACAGATGGCATCAACCAGACCGGCGCTGGTGCCATGAAACACTTTGCGCTCATCCACTTCCCGATCGCCATTGCGCTTCTTCATCAGATCCTTCTGCCTGCAACAAAATGTATACAGAGTCACTACTTAAAAAGAGAATTTCCTGAATTGGTAGTGATTGGTCCTTTGGAATTGCTTGCATGAGGTTGGGGACAGAATAGGCCATTAATATGTGACTAGGAGTGTCTATTAAAGATCTGTTTGAGCCTCCAATGTAACAGTGTTACACTCTGGTTTCCTCAAATACATGAACTGACTTATGTGAGGTTTGTATGTAATGACTTATACCAGATTTCACTGAATTGACCGTTTGAGACTGTATTGTACTTTACCCCATGTACTATCACCATTACCTGTGTAGCTGTATTTTCTGTCTCTATGCCGTTTGTTAAAAACATATTTTAAAATTTAATCAAAATCTGGTTTAAAAAACAAAAAACAAAAGGGTTAATAACCCTCCCCATGTGCTAAGGTCACACGCTATCTCATACTGGTTATTTCTGGAGGGATGCGACAGATGACTGGGGGTGTTTTAACCATTAGCCGCCTGGCCAATGGCCGTTTGGCGGCTTCAAAAGTGCTTGCGCTAATGCAGTTTGCGCTAATGCAGGGCCGCGCAATAGGTCACCGGCCGTGTACCTCGGACACGGCCGATGACAGATCTGAGTACCGGCCCCCGTTGCTGGTACCATGTGACCTGCTGTGACCAATCACAGCAGATCACATGACAGTTGTATACAATGGATGGCTTCATTCATGCCATCCATTGTATACTAGTGCCTAGCTGTGAATGGTCACAGCTAATCACATGCACATGTCATGTGATTAGCTGTGACCAAATCACAGCTAAGCACAAAAAAAAAAAAAACCCTGAATGAATCGATTTCATTCAGGTAAATGCTTGCTTATAGCAAAGTAATTCTTTGCTATAAGCAAATTGTGTAAAAAAAAAAAAAAAAATAATACTGATCACTTCCCCAAAGTAGTACAATGTTACTATGGTAACATTGTACTACTTTGGTCATAGTAAAATATGAAAAAAATAAATAAAAAAAATGTAATAAAAAATTAAAAAAAAAAAAAAAACCAAGTTACACTTACGGTAACGTCTTTTCCAGGAGTCTTTCAGCACTCTGAGAGACCTCGGCTCCTCCCCATCTGAGGAAACACCGCCACCTACAATAAAAAAGCTCCACTCCCCTCTGACCTCAGTTCTCCAAGCAACCTCCGGTCATCTGGGGAGACACAATGCGAGACAACATAATCATAATAAGCCATCTTCACATAACCAATATCAACAGTGGGTTGGAAACCGGTGCTGGCCTGAAAGACTCCTGGAAAAAGACGTTACCGTAAGTGTAACTTGGTTTTTCCCCTACCGTCTTTCAGGCCAGCACTCTGAGAGGATAAGCGAGTACTCACCCTTCGGGCGGGCTAACTGCTTGTAAGACCTTACGACCAAAGTCCTGCTCCTGCACCGAGACCAGGTCCAGTCTGTAATGCTTGGCAAATGTGTCATAGCTGGACCATGTTGCCGCTCTGCAAATCTGCCCTGGGGGAAACCCCTGCTAACTCTGCCTGGGTAGCCGCCACAGCTCGGGTGGAATGTGCCTTGATACCCTCCGGGACCTCCAGGCCTTCTGCCTGATACGCTCCTGTAATTCGCCAGCCGCAGCCAGCTGGCCAGCGTCCTTCTAGACGCCTTCTTGCCTCTTCTAGCCCCCTTGAAAAAAAACAAAAGGGATTCGGTGCTTCTGAACTCCCTAGATTTCTCTAGATACTGGAGAACGCACCTTCTGACATCTAAACAATGATACCTCTCCTGATCTACCCCCACCGGGTCAGGAAAAAACGAGGGAAGGACAATGTCCTGTTCCCTCTGGAAACTCCGAGCTACCTTCGGAATGAAGGACGGGTCTGGTCTGAAAACGATCCTGTCTGAAAAAATACGGAGATAAGGTGTTCTGATCGAGAGGGCCTCCATCTCACACACCCTCCTCGCCGTGGTAATCGCCACCAGAAAAAGCCGTTTTAATGGTGAGCTCACCTATCGGACAGGACTCCAAGGGCTCGAACGGAGCCCTAGTCATCCCCCCGAGCACCTTGGCTAAATCCCACACCGGAAATGGTCTGGACCTCGGAGGCCTCTGCCTCACCAGAGCTTTGAAAAACCTACTCACCAACGCCTCCCTGGCCAGGGGCGTCTCCAGGAACACACTGAGGGCCGAGACCTGGCCCTTGAGCGTGCTGACAGACAATCCCTTGTCCGCTCCCGCCTGCAGGAATTCCAACACAGAAACCAAACTATGGGTTGCCACTGCTGTCCGGTCACACCAGGCTGTAAAGCAATCCCAGACCCTACCATAAATGGCCTGGGTCTCCTCCTTCCTACTGGCCAGTAATGTCGCCACCACCCTAGGCGAGAACCCCTTCTCTAAGAGGAGCTGCTGCTCAGAAACCAGGCCGTTAACCCGCAAATCTTCCTACGCTGGGGCAAAGAACCGGCCCCTGTGTTAACAAATCCTCTCTTGGTGGCAGCTCCCAGGGTGGACGAGAGGCCAAACTCTTTAGGGTCGCAAACCACTCGCCCGCCGCGGCCAGAAGGGAGCTATCAGGATTAACGAGGTCCCCTCTGTCCTGAATTTCCTCAGGACCAGGGGGAGCAAAGGAACCGGGGGAAAGGCGTAACAAAGCCGGGTAGTCCCACCTCTGACCTAATGCGTCCACCGCTCTGGACCCGTCCCAGCGGGATAGAGAGAAGAAATTTGGGACCTTGTTGTTCCTTCCGGAGGCAATAAGGTCCACATCCGGGGATCCCCACCTTCGCACAATCTCCTGAAAGACATCGGGGTTCAAGGCCCATTCCGACTCAACGTCCCTGAGCCGAGTCCTGCTCAGGAAGTCTGCCTTCTGGTTCAGCTCCCCCTTTAAGTGTATCGCAGACAGGGACGCCAAATTCAGCTCTGCCCAGGACAACAGTGTCGCCGCTAAGGCCCCTGAGGGCCTTGCTCCGCGTCCCTCCCTGACTGTTTATATAAGCCACTGCCGTGGCATTGTCCGTCAGGACACGCACGTGCTGGCCCGTGACCCCCGCCTGGAAGGAGTGCAGAGCCTCCCACACTGCCCTCAATTCCTTCCAATTCGAGGATTTGCCCTTCTGCCCTAAGGACCATTCCCCCTGAGTCACCAAATTTCCCAGGTGGGCTCCCAGCCCCTGGCGCTGGCATCCGTAGTGACCTCCGCGGAAATCGGAAAGCACCACAACAGCCCCTGAGTTATGCTGGACGATCTCCTCCACCACCATAGAGACCTTTTCACACTGGGGGGCACCAAGACCCTGCGTTCTAGGGAGTGACACTTCTTGTCCCAAACCCTCAGGATCCACAACTGGAGGGACGCATATGCAGACCTGCCCACTGAACCGCCGGAATGGACGCTGTCAGCAATCCAAGTACCGACATGGCCTGTCTTATGGACATCGACCTGCTCCCCTGCCGTAATCTGACTCCGGCCTCCAACTTGGTGACTTTTTTCCAAAGTCAGGCTGGTCTTTTGGTCTACCGAGTCTAGAGTGTAGCCCAAGTAAATCACCTTCTGAGAAGGCACCAGGCAGGACTTCTCCAGATTCAAAATCCACCCCAAGCTTTCCAGATGGTTCCTCACTATAACCAGGTCTTGCCGTAAGTGAGCCTCTGAATCCGCGAAGAGCAGCAAATCGTCCAGATAGGCCACCACTGAAATCCCCCTTAAGCGGATAGAAATCAGTGCCTCCGACAGAACCTTGGTGAATACTCTTGGCGAGGAGGAAAGGCCGAATGGAAGAGCCCTGAACTGCCAGTGTCGAATTCCTTCCCCCCCCCCACTGCCAACCTGAGGAACCTCTGAGAGGCTTCCGCCACGGGCACGTGTAGGTAGGCGTCCTTCAAGTCTATGGATGCCATGAATGCACCTGGTGGGATTAGGGACCTGATTGTAAAAAATGGAGTCCATGCGGAACCTCCGGTAACGCACTGACTTGTTCAAGGGTTTCAGGTTCAAAATCAGTCTGAACGCCCCAGACGGCTTTTGAACCACAAACACATGGGAATAAACTCCCTTCCCTCGCTCCGCTACTGGAACCCTGGAGATGACCCCCTGGGACTCTAGAATCTCCAAAGCGCCCACCAGAGCCACGTCCTTCGTCGGATCCCTTGGACGGGTCGTCACCAGAAAAGTCTCGGGTGGCGGTCTCAGAAATTCTAAATCGGTAACCCCTTCGGATGACATCCAAAATGAAAGGGGCTGGTGACCACGGCTTCCCACTGTGGGAGAAATGCCGCCAATCTTCCCCCCACAGGAGGAACCAAGTCACCTTGGTTTTTGGGGCTGCTCAGGAGGGCGAAAAATCGCTCCCCCTCTTCCCCTACCTCTCTGTCCAGCCGACCTACCCTGACCAGGCGGTCGCAGGCTCAGCCTCTTTGCCGGGCGGGCCTTCCGTGTCCCCCCCTCCTGCATTTTCCTCTTGAGGGGGAAGGACTTTTTCCTATCAGCTGTCCGGTTCCAATAATTCCTCCAACCCCGGGCCGAACAGACAGTCTCCTGTGAGGGGGATGCCGCATAACCTAACTTTTGAAGTGATGTCCCCCTGCCATGTCTTTAGCCACAGCGCCCTTCTGGCTGAATTGGTCAGGGCAGCAGACCTGGCCCCCAATCTCACCAACTCTGCGGAAGCATCCGCAATATACCCCACTCCTTGCAAAAAGGGTCTCAAAAGAGGCCAAGATTTTTTCCTTGGGAGAGTCTGCCACAATATGGGCCTGTAATTGCGTAAGCCAATACTCTAAGTTCCTGGCTACCACTGTCGTAGCCATGGCCGGCTTCAGGTTGTACAGGGTCGAGTCCCCAGGCCTTCCTAAGAGAGAGACTCCGCCCTTCTGTCCAATAAGTCTGGTAAGACCCCCATGTCCTCAAACGCTAGGTCAGTTCTCCTGGTCGTTTGGGAAAAGGCCGCGTCTAGCCTGGGGCTCTTGTTTCCAGAACCGCCTCCGGGTCTTCCGAAAACGGAAACCTCCTTCTCAATGCTTTTGAGAAGAACGGTTTCCTTTCCGGGTCTTGCCACTCCTTCTTAATCGTGTCTACCAAAATGTCATGCACAGGAAACATTCTGTGCTGGTGCTCCTCCAATCCCTGATACATTTGGTCGTGGAGAGATAAGGCCTTAACTTCCTCCTTAATGTCCAGGGTTTCGTATATAGCCCCCAGGAGCTCATCAACCTCCTCTAGGGTCAACTTATACCGGGAGGGGCCCCTCCCTTCCTCCGAGGGACCCTTACTCCGCTGATTCCTCCTCAGACTGGGAGTCCCCCACTGGTTCCTCCCCGGTCACAAGGGGTTCCCGACGACTCACCGAAGCCACCTGGGGGGGGGGGGAAGTGTAGGTAATGGGAGGGCAAACCTCTCCATGAGGGACTTGAAGGAGTCGAAGGTGGTAGCCAACTCCTTCACTGACCTGGCTAGGTCCCCCTGTTCCGGCTTCTCCTCCCTCACCAACCCCTGTATACATGGGCCACAAAGAACCTTTCGCCAAGATTCTTTTAAAACTTCCTTACAGGAAGGGCATCTCCGCTTGGGCTCCTGGTGCCTAAGTTTAGCTTGGGCCTTGCCCTGAAAGACACAAAAGAAAAGGGGGGAGGAGGGAAGCCCAATCAGTCCGACACTAAACACCCCCCCCCCCCTGCTTCCCGGCAGAGCAAACAAGGGCCTGAAAAAACCGCAGACCCCTTGCCCTACCTTCCCACTGCTAGGGGCCCACAGGTAGGGGAGGCCTCCACTGAGGCACCTTACCTGTGACTGGCTGGTGCTGGCATCTCCTGGTCCCGGTGCCTCCGACAACCCGTACCGGAGGGTGGTCGCCTGGTGCAGGTCTGTCCCCCAGACCGCTGTGCACCGCACCGCCATTTTTGAATTTCGCGCCGCCGTGGTGTGAAGGCCGCGACCGGAAGCAGAAGTCGCGGCCCTGGGCGAAGCCCCGCCCCTTCCGCCGGAAACCGCCGTCTCCCGACGTCCGGCCCGGCAAAGCCCTCAGACCGCCAGCATGGGAAGGAGCGGAACTCCCCCCGATCCTCCCCAGACCTCACCACGGCCACCCCGACGCCCCCCCCCTCGCCGGAGGGGGTCGGGGGGCGAAGAGCAGGTAAGTGCCCTGTCCCGTCCCCCGGGATGCACTCTCACTGCTGGCAGCCTGCCCTGGGAGGATATGCAGCCGGACACTCCGGCCTTCACTCCCGGCTGCGTCGGGCCTCACAGCCGGCTATCCGGCCCTCGGCTCCCCTATCGTCTTCCTGCGCCTCCTCGTGTCTCCCCACCGGAGGAAACACCTGAACTGAGGTCAGAGGGGAGTGGAGCTTTTTTATTGTAGGTGGAGGTGTTTCCTCAGATGGGGAGGAGCCGAGGTCTCTCAGAGTGCTGGCCTGAAAGACGGTAGGGGAAAAAAAATATATATATATATATATTTTTTTTTTTTCCATACTGTCACCAGTCAGTGTCCCTGTTCACCGCCATGCCAGTTATATGATGATGCTGTACTGCACTGGTGACAGTATGTAAAAAAAAAAAAAATTGTGAAAATAAGTTTAATTTTTTCATTTTCCGAAAAATTATGACAAAAAAAATACAACTTCAAAAAACTCGCCATGCCTCTTATGAAGTACATCAGACTGTCTACGCTGCAAAAAGGGGTCATTTGTGGGATATCTGTACTATTCTGACATTCTCGGACCTCAAGAAATTAGATTGGCTGTCAGTACTTCAGGATTGATCAATATTCAGATCTATACCATAGTTTGTGAACTCTATAACTTTCCTACAAACTAAAAAATACATCCTAATTTGGGTTATTTTCACCAAAGACATGTAGCAGAATACATCTTGGCCTAAATTTATGAAGAACAATTATTTATTTGTAAACTTTTATAACAGAAACAAAGAAAAACGTGTTTTTTTTTTTTCAAAATATTTGGTCTTTTTTTGTTAATTTAGCAAACAATAAAAACCCCAGCGGTGATTAAATACCACCAAAAGAAAGCACTAGTTGTGTGAAGAAAATTATAAAATTTTAGTTTGGGTACAATGTTGTATGACCGCACAATTGTCATTCAAAGTGTGAGAGCGCTGAAACAGGAAAAATGGCCTGGGCAGGAAGGTGTAAAATTGCACGGTATTGAAATGGTTAAAGGTATCAGAGGGTGGGAAGGTTAAGGGGTACCAAGAGAATATTTCACTTTCCTAGAATGAGGAGTGAAGAGCTTAAAAACAAAAAACTAGAGCAGGCCAATAGCTGCTCAGTTATGTTGATAAAAAAACTGCCATGTTAAAACTGAACTCCAGGCAGATATAAAAAGGCACACAAATACAGCTCTGTGTTCATTAATACATTTTTAGCGATATAATTAAAAAAAAAAAAAAAACACAGTATAAGTACTTGAATTTGACTTGGTATCAGCCTCTTGTATGTCCTGTACAGCAGAGCTCAGACTAAGGGAGGTGGAAGCAGCAAAAGATTCCACTTAGGTGTGCTTTGGTGATACCAGGACAGCAGAGTGACAGAGAGATCAGCTAATCAGTCTGCTGCTTCTCCTTTCACTATCCAATCACAGGCTGGGGGAGGGACATGACCTGTAAGTGTCATTTAACTGCAGACAAAAATCAGGTGCAATGTCCTGCCGGGCAGGGCTGTGCTATGTCAAGGATTTGGTAAATCTCAGGATTGGATAGGCAGAAATAACATTTATTTGGCAGGTAAAGCAGCTCTCCTATGTGTGTTTCATTTGCATATTTTTCTGTTTGCCTGGAGTTTTAAGTGAAAAGAAGCGACCAAATGCCACGTATGAATGGAGCTCACCATTGATAGACCTCCCACAGTGCCAGATTCTGGATCCGCTCAATGCTCTGTATGTGGGTGGCGGGAACTGTGCGCTGAAACATGCTCTGTATCATCTTATACTCCTCTGAAGATACAGGAAGTTGAACAAGCTGGAAAGAAATCACCAATTCAGATCAGAATCTCCTCCACGGCCATGGGGTGTGCAAAGAACTTTTTCAGTGTTTGCTGACATTTGCTTATAGATATATAGGTGCATAGGGTCAGTCATACACATTCAGGTTCTGCTTCCTGTTTAATAGTGTTGTACAGTGACTGCACTTTAGTGTTCCTTTTTCAGAATGCTGCTTTATCGGCCTCCTCAGCCTTTTTTAAACGAATAGGCAATGTGAATAATTGATCTTATCTCAACAACTCTTTAGCAGATAAAAAATATAGCCAAAAGTACATGGGGCCTCTTTCAAATGACTGCGGTCATGTGTTTCTCATGTAGTGTTAATACTTCAACATACAGTGCCTTGATAAAGTATTCAGACCCCTTGAGATTTTCCACATTTTGTCATGTTACAACCAAAAACGTAAATGTGTTTTATTCGGATTTTACATGATAGAGCAACACAAAGTGGCACATAATTGTGGAGTGGAAGGAAAATGATAAAATGGTTTTCAACATTTTTTACAAATAAATATATGAAAAGTGTGGCGTGCATTTGTACTCAGCCCCCTTTACTTTGATACCCCTAACTAAAATCTAGTGGAACCAATTGCCTTCAGACATCACCTAATTACTAAATACAAATACAGGGCAATCTTAGAAGAAAACCTGTTAGAGTCTTCAAAAGACTTGAGACTGCAGTGGAGGTTCACCTTCTAGCAGGACAACGACCCGAAACATACAGCCAGAGCTACAATGGAATGGTTTAGATCAAAGCATATTCATGTGTTAGAATGACCCAGTCAAAGTCCAGACCTAAATCCAACTGAAAATCTGTGGCAAGACTTGAAAATTGCTGTTCACAGACGCTCTCCATCCAATCTGACAGAGCTTGAGATATTTTGCAAAGAAGAATGAGCAAAAATGTCCCTCTCTAGATGTGCAAAGCTGGTAAAGACATTCCCCAAAAAGACTTGCAGCTGTAATTGCAGAGAGAGGTGGTTCTACAAAATATTAACTCCGGGGGGCTGAATACAAATGCACGCCACACTTTTCAAATGTTTATTTGTAAAAAATGTTGAAAACCATTTATCATTTTCCTTCCACTGCACATTTATGTGCCACTTTGTGTTGGTCTATCACATAAAAACCAAATAAAATGCATTTACGTTTTTGGTTTTAACATGACAAAATGTTGAAAATTTCAAGGGGTATGAATACTTTTTCAAGGCTCCTGTATAAAGACAATTTAGAGCAGGATTACACCACAACTCATACATCGCTGCATGTCCTTGGCATGTCCTGGTGATGTGCATTGCATTTGCATGTGCACTGTGAGGGATGTTGAAGTGAATCTTTTTTTCTGTGTTCTTCCAACCTTGTGGTAATAGTTTGGGGGGAAATGGGGGACTGTGCTCCTGTGTACAAAGCCAGCTCCATAAAAGACATGGTGTGGCCAGTTTGGTGTTGAGAACTCAAGCGTCCTGCACAGAGCCCTGACCTCAACCTTACTGAACACCTTTGGGGTGAACTGGAATGCAAATTTTAAAGCAAGCCACAAATTATAACATTTTCTTTCCTTGAACCATGGGTTGAAAAAAAGATCATTGCTTGATTCTCTCCCCCTCCCCATGAACACACTCAGTCAGAATCCCTCCTGCCGCACTATTATGTTCTGCTGGCGGAAAGCCTTCCCTGCAGGCAGAACTAAATGATTACCGCTCACAACTAAAACTGCCAGCAGTGATTGCATGCAAAAAATTTGATAGGCTGGTTGTACTGAAGTTGATCGATGGATTCATTTCAGTACAACCACCCTGCCCATAGATGGATCAAATCTTGGCCAAACCCTACTTAATTTCAAGCCAGCTATGGCCAGCGTAAGGCAGGTCTTCTCATCCAACATCAGTACCGGACTTCACAAAGGGGCCCAAATGCCTACAGATGCACTCCAAAGTCTTATGGAAAGCTTTCCCAGAAGAATGAGGCTGTTAAAAGGAAAAGGGAGGAGAGGGACTCCTAATTAATGACCACGGTCTTGGAATGGAATTTCCAACAAGCTCATATAGGTGTGAGGGCCACATATTTAGACCTTTGCACACCACAGCCTTTCGCAAAACCATAGTCCCTAAAATACAAGCATAAAATAGGAGGAAAACCGTACATATCCTTCTTTCAAATGATAGTTCCAGTAATCATTGAAAAGGTTTTCTCTGTGCAAAAACTATAGCACCCCTTTTAATGAAATAAGCCCTATTGCTTTGTTGCTCTCACCTTGTACCCGACCTGGGGTATCTGTCCCTGGTCCCACTGTTCCGGAGTCGACTTGTCGCCGGTTCTGGATGGATCAGACTTTCTAGAAAAAAAAAAAAACATCATTCTCCCCCTCGCCTTCCAATATCACAGTGAAGTGAACCTATTGTTTACTTGTGCAGGGCAACGCAAAAGGTCCGCTTTACTGGAAGCAGCACATACTCATCCGCACGATGAAAGGCAAGTATGTGAAGCTGGTGGAAAGACTAATAAAGAGAACCTGTTGCTTTGACCCTAATGAGCAAACCACAGTATTACTTTAAAGTGGTATTTAACCAAAAACAAATGCGTATTAAACTGCGGCTTACCAATTCTTAGTTGTTATGGCTGCAATTGTTTTCTTTAATAGACTTTTTTTCCTTTATATTCACCTATCGGAACAGCAGGTCTATTTTTTTCAACTTATTTTAACAGACCAAGTTGTCCTGACAAAGTAGCAATTAGAGGTTAGAGACAACCCATTTACCACTGACAGGGGTGCTTACATTGGTTAAGTTTTATTAATTTATGGAAAAAAAAAACACAAAAAAAAAAAAAACCTATACGTTAAAAAGCAGAAAAAAGTTTTTCTGTAACTCCTTATAAAGTGTTAGCTGTAGTTCAGCTTCAATTTGTTAGTCAAGTCCATCTAAATCTGCTAGTTGACATTACCCTCTCCCCAGACTGACAATGCTGCTGCCCAAAAGGTGTCAGCTTTACTACTTCATCCAGACTTCCAGAATGCAGACACCCTAAGAGAAAACGTGTTACTGACTGGGTCACCAGTTGAAATAAAACAAAAGAAAACCACATCGAAGGATTGGTAAGCAGCAATATATTACTTTTTTGTTTCAAAACCATGTTAAGGTCTCATTCACACAGACAAATTGTGTAGGATTGCATGCAAACACCAGTGGACAGCTGTGGCTACTGCCAGGCTATCATTGCTTTATACAGGCTTACCAGCCACAGCTGTCCACACACAACTGGGCTCCCGTCTACATATTTTCTGCAAGAAGCTTGCCGTTCCAAGGCTGAACTGGCCATGCGAATGAAGCCGAAAGCGGACGATGGTCATTTCAATATTCCGGGTGTGTTGTGTCAAGAGTTCTTCCACAGCATTCCTGGAGCATTAGGGGCCAAAACTAAATTCCTCCTTCTTTGTAACAATAAACTGCTTTGCTTCTGGAAGATTTCTCTTACCTCTTCTTCAGTTTTGGCACATCTTCTTCAGACACAAACTTGGGCCTCCGGCACACGGCTCGCTCTGTGCTATAACGAACATTTCTCTGCATCATCTCTGGGGGAAGACAGTAATAAAGAAGGAATGAATGAAAAATGCAACAGGTGTTCCATGTGAATATAATACTGCTCCACCATAAATCACTATGCAAAAGTCACTAAGGATTTCTGGGTGATATCTGGCTCAATGCAAAGGTCCACAATGATGTATATTTAAGGTTTAGAGGAAAACAAATTAAAAAGGTGAACACCGAGCACCTTTCCCCCCCAGTTCCCACTGTATTTAGCTCTGGGGTTGCTGAGCTGTGAGCACCACCACAGCTGCTCCAGGTGTTCAGTGATTTGGAATCCCCACTCTTTCAGGACAGACCATGTGGATTCTGCTTGTTCAGCACCATCACACTGGCCAGGCCTGACCGACTCACAACTTAAGAAACAGGAGACGCAAGGAAGCATGGATAAGGCATCAATGGAGGGGTAGTGCCCTATCAGGAGAGGCTGTCACCGTTCTCTGAATAGACATAGCACAGGTTCACTGATCCCCTATAGCCATATTAGGCCATGCTACCCAACATAAGAACTTTACGGGCTGTAAACCCTTACATAGATCCAATGAAGTGACTGGCCTCAGGTGATAAACAAATCCTCCTACATAAGTTGCACCCAATTATGTGCAGTCTTCTATTCTCTACATCTGTTCAAAGTGCTGAATTTATAAAGCTTGCCTGAGCTGTCAGTAAAAAAGGGAGATGAGAGTTACACTCTGCAGAGCTCAGTGAGGAGAGCTCTGAGAGCTGATTGGAGGAAATTGACACACCCCCTTCACACAGCTCACAGGTACACAGCTGAGGACTGTTGCTCTGTTGGACGTCCCTCCCCATCAACTTTTTTCTTTTGGCGTCAGGAAAACTTGTCAGAAGTAATTCATGCTGATAGAGGAACAGGACAGCAGATAGAAATGACACCTAGTGCTCTGGATTGAGACAAGTACACATTATAGAGGGATTGGCTTTGTTGATATTTTATGTCTGAGGTTTACAAACACTTTAAAAGTTGAAGTTTAATCTGTTTATATTTTGGTTTCTCGGTTCCCTCCTTTCCCTCCATAGTAATATTGAAATAAAATCTTTCAATTTTCATTACCTTATTTTAGACCCAGTCAGATCATGGCCTGCAGGAGGGGCTGGCAGGCTGCTGTACATTGCTTCTAGAAAACAACACTGCACCCTGTCTCAGTACTCCTCCCCAGACCCTTTAGCTCTTATTCAAGAAGGGAGGAGTTATGCAAACATAGAAATGCCTTAATGGATGAATGTCATTTTGGAGGAGTGGGCATTTCTAGGTACACCGCATTTGAATGTAGACCACCGTAGGTAACTACCACATGTGATGATGAGCTTCCGTTACTGAGGTCCAATGAATGAGGGTGTGCCAGGAACAGTCAGGCTAGGTAAGAAAGAGTTAGATGATGCTGGATGTCCTTTAGAAAAGGAAAAAAGGTGGGCTCTATCTGACTTTCAAGCACTTTGTGAGAGGCTCACAGTGTGTAGATGAGCCTGTACAACTGTGTAGTGCGAATTCCACTACAAGGGTTCATTCACATGGGCACTGAGCCGCATGCAGCATGCAAAGCCATTTGCTTAATTTTTGTACTAGCAATGAGCTGCGTGCAGGCAGCCTATACAAATTCAATGGCTAAACACTGGTCTCACCTGCGCAGCCAAGTCTGCCGGGTATGCAGGAATGGGTACACAGACACACGAGCTCTGCATTCAGCTCCATACACTCATCCCTGTGTACCAGTTAATCTCAGCTGTGATACTAACAGGAGCGTACCTTTGAAACTAAGCACATAGCTGTGTTTTCCGGCATTGAACTGGACACTGGCATTCTCATCCGACAAGAAGACTGTCTCAATGTCGCTGCTGGTTATAGTAGCGGAGTTGTGAGCATGGTTCTACAAAACAGATCAGAATATATTATTCCTTGACCTTGTTTATCACGGTTGTCTTAATTCACCCTCTCGTTTGGTCTCTGGGATAGAAAAAAAAAAAAAAAGTCTGGCTTCAGAGCTCCAGCTATAGTTTAAAAGCAGATTTAAAGGCTACTATAAAGCTTTGTTAAATAATTTTGACTTGGCCTCTGCAGTCCCTATACAACACATTTCTGGGAGATGGAGGGAGAAGCTGCACAAGAAGCTTATCAGTTGTGCTGCAGATGTCATGTGACAAGGAATAAAGGGATAGGAAGAGTGAGCAGAGTCTGCGAGATGAGCTCATCAATCTGCTGCTTCTCTTTCACTGTCCAGTCAAAGCCTGGGGGAGCGACAAGACCTGTAAGTGTTACTGAACTACAGCTGAGAGAAATCAGGTCTCCTGTCCTGCCAGAAAGGGAGGTGCTGTGTGGAAGAGTTCCTATATATTCAAGTCATCTGTGTATTTAGCTTTCTGCTTGGAGTTCAGCTTTATCCTAATTGGAGAACATGCTGGTCAAAGTTCCTGTTAGTTTTTCTTGCATAACCTAAATCTTGGACTTTCTGATCAATGTAGCAGGACAGTGATTGCCTGACAATGAACTCAGCACCCCTACTATCATTCAGGTGGAGAGAAATGGATCTCTTCTGTTGTATCCCAGCACTCTGTGGCCACTGTAAACACAAAGTAGCTCGAGCCAGGAAGGGGTTAAACACCAGCTCCTTACCTCTCGGCCATATTCTATCCACCTGTCATATTCATCCTTCCAGTACCACAGCCAATCAGTGGTTAGGACAAAGTGGGGAGGTTTAGAGGCAGACGAAGGTGTGGAGAGTCGTCTCATCTTATTGGATTTATACATCATGGCGTTGAAGTTCAGGTCCCTCGTTGGATTTCTGTAAGACAGTTTTTATAATAATTCCTCCTTCTACCACACTACTCCCCTACAGGTTGCAATGAGGTACTGCACACCAAATCTGGTTGCCTGCACTCTACATCTGTTCCTAAGAAGAAGCCATCCATTTCACTAGTAAGAGGAACACATTTTAACTGTATTGAACTGATTACCCCCAAATATCACACAGATTATGGGCCTATAACCTGAAGATTTGGTACTATGACCCAACAATAAATACCTTTCAGTTTGTTGGATATCCCATTCCAAAACCAAGGCCATTAAAGTGGTAGTAAAACTCTTTTTTGTATACCTTATAATAAAGCTTACCTGTAGGTAAAATGAAAATCTCCTAAATGTGCAATGTTTAGGAGATATTCACTCTTTTTCACAGCCGGAACATGCGCAGGAGTGACATCGCGGCTTAGCCAGCCACACGGGCCAGAACTTGCAAACCCGGAATGAAAACCGGGTGAAGATGGAAGCCTCTGCAGCGGTAACGGCTCGCCGCTGGAGGGCTTCATTTTAAGGCAAGTTCTTCATAATGTGATAGTATGCATCGCATACTAGCACATTATGGCATTACCTTATGGGGGATTTTTTTTTTAAGGTGCAATTTACTACCATTGAGTTGTCCCTTTTTGAAGCTATAACATCCTCCACTCTTGTGGGAAGGCTTTCCATAAGATTTTGAAATGCATCTGTGTGCATTTGTGAGGTTGGATGAGAATATCTGCCTCACAATCTGTGTTCCAATTCATTTAAAAAGGAATTTAGTTGGGTTCAGGTCAATGCCCTCTACAGGTCACTCGCGTTCCTCCAAACCAAATCATGTAATTTTGTAGCTGGCTTGGTGCACAGGGGCACACTCCGGAGCATTTTATCAGTGGGCATGTGTGCAGGATTATAAGTTGGGCCCTAGACAGATGAAAAAAAAAAAGCAGCACGTGCAGTATGCCACGGCAAAAAGTGGGCATGGTTTAAATTGTGCATGTGTAGTAGAATCAATGTTTTCATAACTAGGCGCCCCAACGACTGTTTACTTTTGTACATTTGTGTATTTTGGGAAGGGGAGGGGATGGCTCAAAATATTTTTGGGGGGTTTCAAAGTGCTTGCATGTAACGATTTTTGACACTTTTGTTTATTTTTTCACTAAAACCAAAGTCCCCTATGTGATATAATGTTATTTATGATAGGTTCTCTTTGATGAGGCATCAGGAGTCACATGCCCTCCAATGAAGCTAAAGAGCAGACTGCCCTCCATTAGATTCAAGTGAGGCGTGGGGAGACTTGGGGGGGTCTGAGGAAAAGAAAAAGAGGTCAAGGGGGTCTGAGGAGGAGAGAGGTGAGGTCTGTGGGTCTGAGGAGTAGAGAGGGGAGGTTTGAGGAGAGGGTGATCTGGGGAGGAGAGGTGGGAGGTCTGTGAGTTCTGATCAGGAGAGGAAGGGGGGGGGGGGTCTGAGAAGCAGAGAGAAGAGGTCTGGGGGGGTCTGAGGAGTAGAGAGGGCAGGTCTATGGGGACTGAGGAGGAAAAGGGAAAAGTCTAAAGAGGAAAGGAGGGTCTTGGAGGGTCTGAGGAGGAGAGGGTAGGTCTGGGGAGTCTGATGAGAAAATTAGGTCTTAGAAGGGGTGTGGGTGGTCTAGGGGACCTGAAGAGGAGACAGGGGAGGTCTGAAGAAGAGGAGAGGTCTGGGGGGGGGGGGGGGGGGGGGGGGGGGGGGGGAAGAAGAAGAGAGGGGCGGTCTCAGGATCTAAGGAGAGAGAGAGGGGAGATAAGGAGAGGGGGGGGGGGGGGAAGAACGTCTGAGGAGATGAGGGAGGTGTCTGCGAAGCGGGAATGCCTGCAGCCTGCCCTGGCTGTGCTGAGACTGAGGGACTGAGTTCCAGAACCTGCTCTCTATTACCACCTGCAGGCTGGAGGGAGGAGAAAGCCTAATACTCTCTCCAGCTGCAGCTATCTGTCGCTGCTCCTTCTGACAGGAGTGACACCACAATCACTTCTGTCAGTGAACAGCGGGATGACCTGCCACATCGCCAGTGCATCCCTTCTCAGCATGACGCCAGTGGCTGCTATGTCCCGCTCTCAGCCCCCAGGAGGAGCAAGGCAAGATGTCAGTCCGCAGGGCTCCCAGACAGCAGCTGTGGGCGGCAGCAGCCAGAACTATAATCACAGCATCAGCAAATGCGGCCGACTGCCACTGCCTGTATGTAAGCTGGAAAAAAAGTTCCAAAACTCTTGATGCCTAGTGACAGTACTTTACCCTCTTAGGCTCAGGGAAATGTTGGAGGTTGATTTATTTTATGTAATCAATGTGTGTAACGTGTGTCAAGGCACAGTGGGCTCCCCCTTTTCTCTGTGTCCATGTGTAACGCACACCCTGCACACATGGATGATATGCCACTGGGCACAGTCATGCTAAAACAGAAAAGGACCTTCCCCAGACTGTTACCGCAAAGTTGGTAGAGCACATTTGTCTAAAATGTCTTTGTATTCTGTAGTAGTAAAAGTACCCTTCATAATATGTGTGACCCCTTTCTAAATGATGAAGTGCAGGTGTCCACACCTGTATTACATCACTTAAAGGACATCCCGCATACTTTGGTTATATACAGTAGTGTATCTGTGGAAGAAATCCCACATGGACTCCCAATGCCTGAAATGATGACTTCCTAGCCACATTTAGGGCAGGGAAGCTGAAGCCTTTTAGCTCCATGATATCCATGATGAAGCCTGTGAGTCTGAGAAGGCAGTTTTAGCTGATGCTTTTCCAATATTGCTTCTTGATGGATTTCCATTAAAGGACTCCCACACTAAGCTGGACCATGTACACCAGGAAAGGGAAGTTTCATGTGCCCATGGGCCAGATACATACCCACTGTTAGGATCGCAGTATATACGCTCTACCTCCTCCATTTTTGAAACGTCCTTCCAGGTATTATCGATATACACCTGCCACCTATATGGGAGGTGATAGTGGTCCCTCACGCATCGTTCTGTAAGAATACAAATTAACAATTCCACTAAAAAGAAATGTAAATGAATACTTATATATAAAAAAGTGGGTGTGTAAATGCAATAACTTGATTTATATGCACTTATTCATTTGTATCAATGTTCAGAATATTGTGTCACTATATAGTTTGCAATTAAACATGTACATGGGGGCAGCTACATTTATTCATTACAAATGTAGACTCTGCTTCCTTCTTAGTAGAGATGCAGTGACTGTTGTTACTACCCTGACTAAGGCTGACCATACACTATTTAATCTGATTGTACAATCTTTTATATCTACCGTTAACTTTGCCTGCTTTGCTATTATTTGAATGGATTGTTTAGGTTTGTCCTCATATTCCATAGTTTTGATACATTTAAAATATTATACAATCTCTGTATAAGTAGATTGTAAAGTGCAGGGCCACCATAAGGCAGTACGTGCCTACAGATGTAAAAAGAAGGTTTGCCCGATTCGCCCATTTAGTTTGAGAACAATTAAATCACATAGAGACAAAATGATTGGCCCACAGAATTGCTACTGAACCCCCCACAATGTTTTTGTTTTTTTTTTGTAAATGCATTTTTGGATATTTTGAATAGAACGATTTATAAGATAAATCTTTCAGGAACTCTTGGTGCATTGTAGTTAGCCCCTTCACAGCCTAACCCCAATCTGATCCTTGCAAGCAACCTATGATTGGGAGAATAGACTGCATGGATTGTGCTTGGTGTGATTACCCTAAATCTGAATATAAATGGATTGAATCTTAGCTGGTTAAGCAGGGACCGGCCAAGATTCATCCCATCTATGAGCAGGCCGATTGGATCGACTCCAGTACAACCAGGCTGTCGGATTCTCTACATGCAATCATTGTCAGTGGCTATAGCGGATAGCAGTAATCATTGTGTTCTGCCAGCAGGAAATGCCCCCTGTCAGCAGAATATAATAACATTGCAGGAGGGATTCCTTCATCAACACTGACTGCTAAGTAGGTTTACTATACTTGATAGGGGCAGTGTTCATTTGGCTTAGTCTCACCTTTAAAGCTGCAGTTGTTTAAGATGAAGTAGAGACAAATCTCCTCCACGGGCTGAGAACTGGCAGATCTTTGGATTGCTGGCCTGTCTGAGAATCAATGTCATTAGTGCAGCCAAATTCAAACATTTTTTGAAATAATTATTTTCACAGACCCAAAATTGCCTCTTTTCTAGAACTATTCATCACTGCCCTCTTCTCACCACTGCCAATAATCATTAACATACTCAATTAATTACCTACCCATCACCACCACCGTACCCTAATAACCTACCCGTCACCACCACTGTTCCCAATAAATCACCTACTCATCACTGCCCCATTACCTCCTATTAATTTGAAAACCTATCACTGTCCTAATATCACCATTGTCCCATATTAATCAACAAATTATCACCACCGCTGATCCCTATTAATCACCTAAATTCCCTACCCATTACCACAACTGTCCCTTAATAGTTACCTTCCAGTTCCTGCCATATTACCACCACTGTTCCCTATTAATCACATACTCATCACTGCCCCATTGCTGCTACTGCCTCCTATTTATAGTCTACACAACAATGACCCATTACCACCATTGTCTCCCTATTACTCACATATATCTGCCCCCCTACCTATCACCTACTTGCTCCTGTCTCCTGTCCACCACCTGCTGCCCTTGCTCAACAGTGCAACCTGTCTACCACAGACTCTCTCCAAGGTTTCCGTCCATAACTGACCACTGCTCTCCAGTGTATCCTGTTCAGGACTGTCCCTTGTCCAGCAATGTCCCCTACCCGCCAATGACATCTGTCTTCCAATGCCCCATATCATACAAAGTCCCTGTCCTCCAATGAACCATATTCCCTGCTCTATAATGAGCTCTGTCATCTAGTGTCACCAAATCATCCAATGTCATCCTATTCATGCTGAGCCTCCACTACCTGACAAGTTTTCATGGAATAGGAATAACGTCCATATGCCCTAAAGCCTAAATCGATTTTTCTAGAGCCTATAGCAGAGCATAGTCACTCTGCTATATGTCAGAAACCCTGAGAAGATCAGAAAGGACATTGGAACACTCCAGGGTTGATAGAACAGAGTGATGTTGACATCTGGCTGGAGGACCACTGCAGTGTCCTGAACCCATTGGTTACAACTACTTCAGCCAGATCTGGGTGGGTGAAGGATATATGTTTAATATGAATCCATAAACACAGAAATGATTCTACAGGCACTTACCTTTGCCCGCAGGGGATTTAAGCTCTGCTTTTGGAGTAACATTGTTTTTAATGGCATTGGCATTCAGGTACGACTCCAGGATTTGAGGCACAAGGCTGGCAGCCAGCCCCCATTTAATTAGCTTCCGGCACGTATCCTCCTCACTGAGGTCATGTGACCTCTTGCATTGACTTCCAAACTTGCAGTCGCCTTGCAGGAAGTGTTGGCAGACGTGCAACTTGTTGCAGCTGGTTTTGAAGGTGCAGGAGCCATGAGGACCCTCACCACGGTTGTAGTGCAAACAGACCTGCCAGGAGAAGAAAATAACTGAGCCAATCCAACAAAAAACATCTAAACTAAATTGTATTATACAAGACATAACAGCAGCAGCTTTCTGTACATAGCCCCCTGCAAAAGAAACCACAGTGAGCGCTCACCAAATTATCACTTTATTCTGCAGTTTTTTTGGCGGGATGAATTGGAACACTGCCAGGTTTTCTCATCCAACTTGAATACTGGACCTTACAAATGGGCACAACAATTCCCTCAAACATCCTCCACAATATTATGGAAAGCTTTTCCAGAAGAGAGGATAATGGTATGGCCACAAAGAGGGGCAATTCCACAATAATGGCCATGGTTTTGGAATAGGATGTCCAAAAGTTCATATAGGTGTGACGGTCAGGTGTCTAGATACTTTTTGTTTATAGTCTATAGTGTACAGGTTGAATTGGCCAGCTTTGTGATAAAAACACAGATTCAGGAATAACTGCATAAAACAGACAAAAAAGTTAAAAGGTGAAGCTCCGTTTTAAGGCTCCCTCCCTAAATAGAACCTTTGTGTGATTTTGAGAGGTACCCCCTCCCACTAGGTGGTCGGAAGCAGAAGTTCTCCTATCCCTTTCTTGCAATCCTCTGGGACAAGTGACAGGTCCCAGAAGACTGCGGGACCAAAGAGCTGTGCATGTGCAGTGGGCACCTGGCTGTGAAGCCACAAGCCATCACAGCCGGGTGCCCAGAGTTGAGGTGCCAGCGCCGGTGACAGACAACCGAGCAAAGGGACGGCTCGGGTGAGCACATTGCTGCATCCTGGGACAGGTAAGTGTCTGTTTTATTAAAAGTCAGCAGCTACAGTTTTTGTAGCTGCTGACTTTTAATAAACGCAAAAAATGGCTGGGACTCCGCTTTAAATGACATGGGTTTGTCTGTATCCACACTTATTAGTTATCAGTCTTTACATTCCATATTGAACAGCGGGAGGTACAGAGAATTCACTGCCTCGCACTCAAGGACAGGCGATAACTCCCAGCTACTCCCCCACAGAGAAAGTTTAACTACTGCTTCCATGAACTCTGCTCTAATGAAAAAGGCTGGATATTATTTTGGAACACAGCGCTGCTAGAATCATGAAATGCAAACCGATATCACTATCACCTCTTTGTCATGGCAGAGAAGCAAAAAGGCAGCCTGGGACCTGACACTAAGAATTGTGGTGTCAGTACCTATCCCTCTTTCCAGAGAAGATCACCTAATGATACAGCATTTATATAGTAGAACATTGCATCATGGGAACAGATGGTTTTCTGGTTTCAGACATGCTCAGCAATGAAAAGGCCACACACACAACCTAAGCTTTTTAAGCCTTCTACATGTTAAGCCTCATGCACACGCATGCATTTTCCAGTACGTTATAAAAAATCCTGTGCATTTCAATGCCCTGGAGGCACAGGTGGTGTGTACAGCTTGTTGTCAGCAGCCTGTCAAAATCAATGACAGGCTGAATTATGATTCAACTATATGCACAGCTAAGCAGTACAGGGCCATAGGTGTACAGGTACATGTGTCCCGAACAAGGGCGGACTGAGAACTCATGGGGCCCCCGGGCAACAGGGGATCATGGGGCCCTTGTGTCCTTGCCCAAACTCAAAAAAGCCTATGAAAAAGGTACCAGGGGCATCTCATGGGGCCCCCTACTGACCCCGGTCCCTCGGGCAGTGCCCGAGTTTCCAAATGGTCAGTCCGCCCCTGGTCCCGAATACAGACTTTCGGCATTTGTAGCATATGTCCCTGTACGCATATAGCCCGGCACACAAGTACTGCTCAGATGTGCGTAAAGCCAAAGCATATTTCAGCCTGTCCTTGATCTTGACAGGCTGCTGGCTGTATGTAACACCCAGGAGCAAACTGACCATTTGGAAACTTGGGCACTGCCCGAGGGCCCAGGGTCAGTAGGGGGCCCCATAAGATGCCCCTGGTACCTTTTTCATAGGCTTTTTTGAGTTTGGCCAAGGACACAGGGGCCCCATGATCCCCTATTGCCCGGGGGACCCATGAGTTGTCAGTTTGCCCCTGGTAACACCTCTGCCTTTCCGGTGCCGGAATACACCAGGTTTTAAGCTGCAAGATTTCAGAGCCATGGGAACCCTTGCAATTTTTTTGTAGTCAGTTGAGAAGTGCCAAAACATAACAAAAATGTTAAAATTTGCAGTTGGTAAAAAAAATCTCTATCTCTCGATTCAACACTGGTTGCTCTTCAGAGGACAACACAAGTGTGATAGAGCCCTTGGACACACTTTACTAATACTACATTGATTCTTACATCAGGCAAACAAGGTGGGGTCATTCTGTAGGAGCAGGTAGCGCAATTCTGTTATGGTCAAGCCATTAAGATGGTACTTCTTCAACACCTTTACAGCTTTATCTGTATCGATGCGATGGTCGAACTTACAGTGCGGCCTGTGAAACAGAATAGAGAGCATCAGTTGAGCACTTTTTTCAGCATGAAAAACATTTTCATTTTTCTTCATGTTCAAAACCAATTAGAAGTAATCTGATGATATTGAATTGATCAAATGAAAATCGTTCACGCTCTTATCATACGGGAAAATTTTTCATGCTTCTCCCTTGCATAATTTTGCATAAAGTGTTGTGATCGGCTCTTGAAAGCTGTGTTCTAATGATCGGATCATTGGACTATCACTTTGAAAGCGGTATTTTTTTCATTCGATTCTCTCATTGTGTGTGCTAGGCATTGTGAAGGGGGGGAAGGGGCGGGGGAGGAAGGTAAATATGAGCAAAAAGGCCCTTACGTTTATGCTTTTAAAAATTCCACAATGGCAGCTTCCTTATTGCAAACCTGATTGAATCAGCCAACAACTTAAATATAAATTCCAGGAAGTGACAGCACTCAGGAAGTGTCATAGACTATCCCCCCCCCCCCCCAAATGTCCCCGTTACCTGCTGCAGCCCCCCAGGATGAAATAGCGGCACAGATGAAGTTTCTCGCAGTTGCCTGAACACTCCTGGTTCCGGTCAGCACACATGCGAAGCTGACTGGTGTAGACCACCAACTGATCACCATCTTGATTTCTGGTCACCAAACTCCGACCTTCCTCCGAATCCATCAGATGGGACAATTTCTCTGGGCTCAGCTGCAGGGACCGGGCTAGCTGCCCCTGCTCCATACTGCCCCAATTGGAGCAAAGCACCTTGCAAAGCCGCAGAGAGAGGTGGGTGGGGGCAGACATGTTCAGAGGGTGGGGCGTCTGCTCCTGAAATAATGTTTACCTGCCAGGTATGGACCTCCCACAATTATCTGCCCTTTCTACTCAATACACACCAGCCTCACAAACAAATATCCAACTCAGTGGGTCCAGAAATGAAATTCCCCCAATCTAATTGGTAGGTCTCTATTGGGAGTCTTTTGATCTGTAGGAGCCAATCTGTCTGGACGATTGTGACTCAATATCCAGCCCCCGAGGATCAGGTGTCTAAAGAATCCACCAAGTAAATCTTTAATTTGAAATGAGTTCTATACAGCTAATCTACAATTATTAGAGGTTATGTCACTCCGGTCTACCAGGCAGATTGGTGACCCCCGAATCCCCCCTCAATCTGAGCCCAATCTGCATTTCATTTATTTAATCTGCACTTCTAATCCTTACAATCTACGATCCACCAATATACGACTGTCTGATCCTTACAGCCTATGATCTACGGTTATCCAATCCTTATATGCTACAATCCTCCGATGTACGATTGTCCGATCCTTACAGCCTACGGTTATCCAATCCTTATATCCTACGATCCACCAATATACGACTGTCCGATCCTTGCTATCTGCGATCACCGATCCTCGTTATCTGCGATCAACCGATCCTCGCTGCCTACGATCGCTCGATCCTATCTGCGATCGCCCGATGCTCGATCCTCGCCCGATGCCTACGATCCCGATGCTCGCTGCCTACGATCGCCGATGCTCGCTGCCTACGATCGCCCGATGCTCGCTGCCTACGATCGCCCGATGCTCGCTGCCTACAATCGCCCGATGCTCACAATCTTTCCAATATGATTGGCAGATATGAGGCCCCCAAAGATTTCAGTCCAATATCCCGAATGTGAACTATCTTCAATCCGATGAACAAATCTGCATCGGTAAAATCCCCGATCTGCTTTCCTGACTGCCCCCCTGGGGTTTGGTAGGAGCCCTGAAACTGCACCGATCTAATCTGCGGAACTGGAGCTCCTGTCCGATCCAGACTGGAGGTGGGAGGAGTAGAGCTCAGCAGTAACCGGCCATTCAGGGGCCCCTCACCCGCCCCGGATCGCCCTCTTCTCTCCGGCATCAGACTTCGCCAGGAAACCGAAACTACAACACCAGAGCGCGCCCCCGGCCCTCTCCCAGCACTTCGCACTATGCGCGCCCCGGCCCTCTCCCAGCACTTTCCTACTATGCGCGCCCCCGAACCTCACTATTACTGTTTCTAGGCACGCCGCCCTCTATAGGCTATGCGCGCCCCTTGCCCTTCCTGAAAAGTTCATGCTATGCGCGCCCTCTATTTGTGGTACATGGTAGGCCGCCCTTCCCTGCTTCCAGCTATGCGCCCCCCGCTGGACTGCCCAGTGCGCGTGCCAGTACCGCTGCGTAGGCTCAAGTGATCAGGGAAGCTCCAATGTGTCACCTAGAGTGCCCTCCGGACTGCTGATTGGTAGCTGCTCTCCAGGATCAAAGTGTAGTGGGATCTTGTTGGGTTAAACTGTCACGTGATCAGAAGAGCTGATGTCCAATCGCCCCCAATGAAAGGTGTGAGGGGACTTTCTAAATACTGTCATCATACTTTCCCTGCTGCTTCCTTGTTAAAGTACACTTTCACCTATATTTACATTTTCATTGGGTTGTACTCCTACTTTCCATTTTTTTAACCTTTTGCCCTCCAGAGGATTTACCCCCCTTCCTGACCAGGCCATTGTTTGCGATATGTCGCTGCATTACTTTAACAATTGCACGGTCATGCAATGCTGCAACCAAATTAAATTTATGTAATTTTTTTCCCCACAAATGGAGCTTTATGTTGGTGGTATTTGATCACCTCTGTGTTTTTATTTTTTGAGCTATAAACAAAAAAAGACTGACAATTTTGAAAAAAAAAAAATCAATATTTTTGACTTTGCTATAAAACACGTCCAATACAAAATTTTAAAAATCAAATTTCTTCATAAATTTCAGCCAAAATGTATTCTGCTACATGTCTTTGCTAAAAAAAATCCCAATACATGTAAATTAATTGGTTTACGTGAAAGTTCTAGCGTTTACAAACGGTATAGATACTGGAATTTTTTTTTTATACTAGTAATGGCGGCAATCAGCGACCTATTGCAGGACTTCGGCGGGCATTCTGACACTGGGGGGGGGGGGGGGGGGACTGATTAACTGTCACTGACATGCCCAGTGACACTAATACATAGCACTGACACTGTAGTAGTGACACTGGGCAGGAAGTTGTTTACGTTGGCGATCAAAGGGTTAACAGTGGACTTTGTGTGTTTTACTAGGGAGACCTGCTGGTTTGTATCTCTTTGCTGTGCTGTGCAGTGAGATACACAGCAGCATGTCCATCCTGACAGGGGAGAGATCTGTGTTGTTTACACACAGGTCTCTCCCCTGTCAGCTTTCCCCAACGATCGCCAAGTGCCAGCCAGAAATTGCCAACCACAACCTGGTGATTGGTATCTCTAGCCGCCAATAGCAGCATGGGTAGGGTGGAGCGCGTGCCCCCTACCCGGAATGCAAATCACATATATATGTGATTCTGCGCAGCCCTGCTGCCCTGTAGCAGTACTTCTGCTATAGGGCGGAGGGCAAGTAGTTAAAAGAAATGGGGGGGCAGGATACCCTTTTACTGGAGCACAGCCAAAGCATACCTAGGCGAGATTGACATCTATACCCCCCAGATGAGAGGTCTGCTAGAATTATTGCTCTCACTCTAATGTTCGCGGCGATACTTCACGTGTGGTGCAAACACTGTTTACATATGCATGCGCGATTTACTTCTGTGTTTGCTTTCTGAGCACAAGCACAGTGGGATGGGGCGCTTTAAAAAAAAACATATATTTTTTTTTTTACACTGTCCCTTTAATTTTTTTTTGTATCACTTTTATTCCTATTACAAGGAATGTATACATCCCTTGTAATAGAAATATGCATGAGAGGTCCTCTAAGATGAGATCTGGGGTCAAAAAGACCCCAAACCTCTTCTTTACTTTTAAATGTAAAAGATCCCAAAAAAAATTTTACTACTTACTTTATCACTTCCCCCACCGTCCGGATGTGACATCATGACGTCCCTCCGGTCCTCCATCTTGATACTATAGAGTCTTTAATCGCCGCTATCTAACAAGGCCACACCTTAACAGACCAGCATTAATAGTAAGCTTGAGAAACACCAGCGAGCTGCAGGGGGAATGTCCCCTCCCACTGCTATGGAAAGCAATCCAACGGCTCTAGAGCCTCTGGGACTGCATTCACTGAACAAAATGATCCTGGAGTTATGGCTGATTTCTTAAGACATAACCAGGGGCGGACTGACCATTTGAGCACTCGGGCACCGCCCGAGGGCCCGGGGTCAGTAGGGGGCCCCGTGAAAGGCCCCTGGTACCTTTTATAGGCTTTTTTGGGTGTGCTTTGAGTGTGGGCAAGGAAACAGGGGCCCCATGATCCCCTATTGCCCAGGGGCTCCATGAGTTGTCAGTCCGCCCCTGGACATAACCCTAGTAAACCACTTGAAAACCGCAACATTTATATACATATTGCGATACCCACATCGTAAATCCCAGGATGCTTCAGGGCTATGTAGAACACACAGCGCATGTGTAGTGCAGCATCATTAAGGGCTAGCTGTTAGGGCTCAGAGAAGACAGCGGGCTTCCTGATGACACCAGCAAAGAAAATGGCAGCCCGAGACTTGGCTTGAGGATGGCTTAGGGTAGGTGACAGTAGGACGGCACTGGAATCACTGAGCGGGTGAGTGGGGCCATCCTAATAGCATCACGGGCCTCTAGGCAAAGTAATGCACTGGGGCCCCTATCAGGCTGCCCCAATTTACACACCTGCTCTCAAGAATTAAAGTATAAATAATTGATAGAATTAAACATATATTTATTAGTACTTTAGTTAAAAATCAATTTTAAACAATAAGAAAACATTCCATAACTTCTGCCTGGCAGTACTGGGGTCGTTGGTTTGAAGCCCAACCATGGCACCACCTGCCTTAAGTTTTCATGTTCTCCCTGTGCCTGCATGGGTTTCCTCCAGGTACTCTGGTTTCCTCTCACACTCCAAAGACATGCTGGTAGGTTAATTGGATCCTGTCTAGATTGGCCCTAGTATGTGTATGTATAAATGTGAGTTAGGGAGCTTAGATTGTACGCCCCTTGAGGGTTATGGATTGATGTTAATGTACTATATGTATGTAAAGCGCTGCGCAAATTGACGGCGCTATATAAGTACCTGAAGTAAATAAATAAAAATAAATCAAACACTAATCAACACAAAGGGCACAGTACAGGGGGAGGCAGAAGGGTACAGTACAGGGGGGATCAGGAGGGCACAATACTGGGATCAGGAGGGCACAGTACAAGTTCCAAGACATTGCCCGGGACATGACCTTTCTAGGACTGCTTAGTAAAAAGTGTGACTGTCCCAGCAAATCCAGGACAGCTGGCAAGTATAATGCAATGCAAAATTATCATGGGGCCCCTATACACCTGGGGTCCCGGGGCAGTGCCCAGAGGTGCCCATGCACTAAGACAGCCCTGCAGGTGAGTATGTTATTTCAGCTCTACCCACCAAAAGTAAGAGGGAGTTAATATCAAAGTGACACTAAATCTTATTTTTTGTTTTCTAAAATAACAAAGATGTCTATACTTAGCTGCTCTGTACAGTGATTTTGCACAGAGCATTCTCGATCCTCTTGTCAGGTCCCCTCCAGCGCTCCTGGCACCTCCCACTCAAGCAGTGCCCCCAGGGAAAGTCACTCGCCCTGGAGGCACCTCTGCGTGCTCATCCTTGACCTGCTGCTCTATGTGTCCATAAGACATATTTAACCATTAGCCGCATGGCCAATGGCCGTTTGGCGGCTTCAAAACTGTCTCTGCACTCAGGGTGCACGCCATTTGGCGTGCTCCCGCACATGCGCAGTTTGCGCTAATGCAGAGCGGCGCAGCAGTGCGATCTGTCACCGGCCTTGCA